GGTGATTAGTATGTCGTGGTATCTATTGTAAGGAACCAGGTTACATGCGCGCACAAAAGCGAGCATCGATTGTCAGATTCCATTTGTAGCGTGACCGCTCCGCCTCGCCACCGCCACCATTCATATTAGACGAAGGTCCACCAACAAACTGACAACCCCTGGGAGATAATTTGACTTCACAGTTTCGTTTCTAGAGTGAACAATTTGTCCATTGTTTTGAAGTGTTGAAACATGCTCTTCAGCGTCTGGCCGGTTGCGGCCCTTTGGCTGTGAACTACGCTTCGCTTGATTGCCTTGGCCAGAGGATACGTAGCATTCTTTAATCAGCGGTTGATACACGTTGATCAAGATGGGGAGATTCGTGGTTCAAGGCCTCGAGTATTTGTTCCCCTCGACTTTGATTGAGGAACACTTGATGGTTTGGTGCCGGCCGTCAGTTTTGATGAAACATTTTCGCCGAGGTGAAGAATGAAAGGAATTATCACATCAGCACAGAAATTCGGACAAAAACAGGCGGGCCGAGTCGACCGCATCCGGAAGGAACACCAGAAATCGGCATAGGTGCGCTGGGGAGGTCGGGCGACCGGCCGGACACTACACCGACATACCGCAATAATACGGTCGAAAAACAAGAGCGGACCGACCTGGAAACGGCTCTCTGGATTTTGGGGCTTTCTGCTGCTGTGATCATCGAACCAGTCAGACCGGAATTGATCCGGCGGTCGACCCGGGCCGGTAACGACCGAATGAACGCGGCTATAGTCAGTTTTCAGGTTTTCGACAACGGTCGTATAAGTCTAAAACTAAAGAACGCAAAAATCTGATTAGGTAAGGTGGACGATTGAGCATCGCCAAAAAGCAGAATGCATCTTGGCCATCCCATTGTGAGAGAGCTTTGAGAGATCTAGAAAGTTTAGGGTTTGGAGATTTGTAAGCCTAACTAATATCTGCTGACCTTTCTACAACAACCCCTCCTTGCCCCGTGGACGGTAGCAAACAGAACACACCGTAAATTGTGTGTTCTTACAACAGAGATTGGGTGGTTTGCATATGGTTTGTGGTTTAGTTCTAGTTATTGTCGATGTTGCCCTAGACCAGCTTCCCGCCGCCGCCGCCACAACAATTACATAGTTTCCTGTTACCTACTATACTATTACCTGGACGCTCATGTGATAGTACTGTCTAACTGATTTATTATTTCATAAACCCATAAGTGACATCTCTCAGATCTTTGTGATTCAATAAGCTTTTTATTGCTTGCATTTGAATTATAGTATGTGATTACTTCAGGAATCTAAAAAGATGTCCTCAAAGCGATGATTTTGTTGCTATTCAAAAATTTATCTTTCTTGCCACTGCACTGTAATTTCAATGCGCGTTGGACTTCCTCTTATCATAATCATATTATTTCATCATTATACCATCAAGCTGATGTTAAAGAGTTGACTGTGGGGGCTGTTTATCCAGTGTCACTTGGAGCCAGATTCAGTATACTTACCTTGAATTACTGTTCCAAACCGCTAATCTATATCTCTGTTTGGTAATTGCTTGTCACTTGTGATCTCAAGATCTTGTGAATTTCGGATAAACGATTAGCAATGCTCATAAATTCGCAAATGGCTGAATCATTAAAACAACCCTAAGCGCATTCTGTTCAATGGAAGTATCATCAGGCCAGATTCGCACACGATTTCATCTTGAACGGCTGATTTTTTTATGTCGCATGCAGAGGCATCAATCCAGAAGATAATGCTAGTTCATCATTCTTACTGATTAGCATCTATTGGGTTCATTATCAAAAATTAGATGCATCAGGTTTTAGCAAAGAAGCTCAATTCAAAAAGCAGGTTAAATTATAATAATTCTCAGATATTGTGCATGTATTGCTTGTTATGTACGACTAAGGTTCAATTAGCCACTGTCGTCCATGGGACGACAGTTCTTATACCCTTGCATTTGTATTTATCGTTAACTATGTCTCTCTAACTGATATTTATTTCAGTAAACTGGGTCACACACTACATATCGTCTTAGGAGTGTTCCAATCACAGCCTTGTGCATGTTAGCCAATTCTACTAAATATCAAATGGTAGTGATTGATTCACCTGATCTTAATTTTTTTTTTTTTTTTTCTTTTTTTTTCTTTGTTATTATCTCATTGGCTGCGAGTTTGTACCGAATGAAACCATTCCTTCTGGCTTCAGACATTTATCAGAAGCTAATTAATCCTACATAATTTTGGATTAGTCTTCGATTATTTATATTATCTTATTTTCATATACGACAATTCTCTTAAAGCTCTTATAGGAAATCAATTGTTAGCAATCTCCATTCATAACGCCATTGGCTAGGTAATATAGCGTTCAATGAACAGAGATAACCAAGAAAACAAGTAAACGTAGTTGCATAAAGCACAAGTGTCCTGTGGCCACGATCTCTAGTATGGAGAATTTTCTAAATTTTATACATTCTAACAATTACCAGATAAGAACTTGAAGAGACTTGGTTAAATACAAACTTGTGACGGATAGCTCCCCCAGGTTCAAAACAATCCCGGCACCAACCAGCAAAGATGACATTGTCTTTCATAATTGAGATCTCTCCTCCCTTGTTCTATTTAAAAACCATGACATGAAAAAGAAACCTGGGCACAGATAAGATCAAGATGAAATGGCTGAAAGCGAAAC